TGTGTGTGTGTGTGTGTGTGTGTGTGTGTGTGTGTGTGTGTGTTTCTTCTCTATATGGACTCAGTAGTCAATTCCTCCTGTGAGTGTTTCATTATTGCTTCGGACAGCAGGTTTCTAAAAGGCCTTTCAGGAGTAATTGTGCTTGGTCAAGTGAACTGGCCCCGGACGCTAAGCTAAGCTAAGCAAAATAGGTGTTGTGTCGTACAACTATCAGAGCAACCGGGGGAGTTTTACTTCTATACGAGGGAAAATGTGGACGGCCATTTTGGAAGCAAGTGTTAAAAAAAAACAGAGACATTTTCAGAGCTGTTGGCCCATCTAACCCATTTTCTGTGATCAGATACTATCAATATCTTTAGCATTTTTTTATCCAGTCTGTGTGTTACTGTGTAGTCTCTCTCTCTCTCTCTCTTTCTCTTGCCCTCTTTCTGTCTCTCACCCCCAAACCTGAGCTCTGGTTTTGCTCCAGGTTTCTGCCTGTTAAAAGGAAGTTTTTCCCTCCCTGGGTCGCCTAGTGCTGCTCTTGGTGGGAATATTTGTTATTATGTAAATAACTCAGAGTCTGAGCCACTCTATTTGGAAGATACCTTTTGTTGTGATGTGGAGCTATATAAATAAAATAAAACTGAATATGTGAGGCTTAATGTTTTCATTCTGAGGGGAGAAATCCTCTGAACGAGACCTTTTGATGTGGCCTTACTCCCAAACCTGAGCCCTGGTTCTACTCCAGGTTTCTGCCTGTTAAAAGGAAGTTTTTCCCTCTGTGGGTCGCCTAGTGCTGCTTTTTTTTTGTTCTTCTGTAAATAACTTAGAGTCTGAGCTGCTCTGATTGGAAAGCTGGGAGATAACTGTCATTAGGATGTGGTGCTATAGAAATAAAGTTGAATTGAATTGAATTGAATTGAATTGAATATGTCTTCTGTCCCAGGTTTCTGCCTGTTAAAAGGAAGTTTTTCCCTCCGTGGGTCGCCTAGTGCTGCTCTTGGTGGGAATTGTTGTTCTTCTGTAAATAACTCAGACTCTGAGCCACTCTGTTCGGAAGATACCTTTTGTTGTGATGTGGAGCTATAGAAATGAAATTAAAACGAATATGTGAGGCTTAATGTTATGGAGTAATCCTCTGAACGAGACCCTTTGACGTGGCCTTACCCCCAAACCTGAGCCCTGGTTCTGCCCCCTAAAGGCAGTTTTTCCCTCCCTGTGTCGCCTAGTGCTGTTCTTGGTGGGAATTGTTGTTCTTCTGTAAATAACTCAGAGTCTGAGCTGCTCTGTTTGGAAAGCTGGTAGATAACTGTCATTAGGATGTGGTGCTATAGAAATAAAGTTGAATTGAATTGAATTGAATTGAATATGTGTTCTGTCCCAGGTTTCTGCCTGTTAAAAGGAAGTTTTTCCCTCCCTGGGTCGCCTAGTGCAGCTCTTGGTGGGAACTGTGGTCCTTCTGTAAATAACAGAGTCCGGAAAGCTGGGAGATACCTGCTGTTTTGGGGATGTGGAGCTAAATAAGTCAAATAAAACTAAATATGTGAGGCTTAATGTTTTCATTCTGAGGGGAGAAACGAGACCCTTTGATGTGGCCTTACCGCCATTTTGTCCTCCTGTTCTGGAACCAGGTCTTGACCTGAGCGTCGGTCATCTTGAGGGCCTTGGCCAGCGTGGCGCGCTCGGCGGAGGCCAGGTATTTCTGCCGGTGGAAGCGTTTCTCCAGCTCGCAGATCTGCACCCGGCTGAAAGAGGTGCGCGGCTTTTTCCTTTTGGGCGGCGTCCGGTTCTGGTACGGATGTCCGATCCGACGGGTCACAGAGAAGGGAGAGAGGGCCGCTGGAAACAAGGGAAATGAAGCAATTCTCACTCTAAATGTTATATGTTCAGATCTATAACTGGAATCTGTGAAGATGCTTGTTTTGTATTCTATTTTTATAAGTTTGGAGACGTTTGCAAACAGACTTTAAATTTCCCCCTCGTTGTGCTAAGCTAATACTTTGCATTTTCCACATGGTGAAATGTTAAATGTTATTTGTTCAGATCTAAAACTGGAAGGTGTGAAAATGCTTTTTTTTTCATTTTGAACTGTTCTTAGTATAATATTCCTCAGTGAAGATTTTCCTTATGTCTACTTTTTTACGTGTCCTTTTTTTGGAGACGTTTGCAAACAGAATTTAAATTTCCCCTCGTTGTGCTAAGCTAATACTTCACATTTTCCAAATGGTGAAATGTTAAATGTTATATGTTCAGATCTAAAACTAGAATGTGTGAAGATGCTTGTTTTTTATTCTATTTTTATAAGTATAATAATCCTGAGTGATGATTTTCCATTGTTTGGAGACGTTTGCTAACAGACTTTAAATTTCCCCTCTTTGTGCTAGCTAATACTTCACATTTTCCACATGGTGAAATGTTATATGTTCAGATCTAAAACTAGAATGTCTGAAGATGCTTGTTTTTTATTCTATTTTCAACTGTTCTTATCATCTTACTGAGTTTGTTTGGAGACGTTTGCAAACAGACTTTAAATTTCCCCTCGTTGTGCTAAGCTAATACTTCACACTTTCCTTAAGGTGAAAATCAAATAAAATACAGTTTTCTTTTTAACATTTTT